TCCCTACCCATCCCAAGAACCTCACCCCGAAGTTCCCGAACGAGAGCTTTAACTTCAGCCGTTAGGCCTCCTCCTTGGGCAACACTATCTTTAACAGAACGGATGAGCTTCACAACATCGTCATTCAAGGCTTCGTTTACTCGCACCGTAGTCGAAGAACGTCGACCATCTTTACCATTGAGCAGCTTATCAACTCTCTGGTTTACCACGCCACTGATTTTAGACCCTGAGTCGTCACTACTAAAGCTCAATGTCCTTCCCTTCTCTGAGCCACTACCGGCTCCGGGGCTCATCGGATGTTCACTGGCGAGTTTGAGGTGATGAATAAGCTCCTCTACTTTGCTGGCTGAGGCCATACCAGATAGCCGATCAGCTAGTTCAGACAGACGGCCGACGATCGTATCCTGACCGTCTTTCGTTCCCATATCTCTAATGATCTTCTCCAACAATGCCATCGTAGCAGGAGATTCTCCACCTACGAGCGACGGCGTACTAAGCGTAGACTCTCTGTCGATGGACGCCGCAAAACTATTGGGAGACGGAATCCTTGGGAGGGATATCGGTCTTGATATTTTCGAGCCAGGTGACATGTTGTAGGGCTTGTTGTCAAGATATAAACCGCCCGTATATGAATCCCGATGGTACCGGCTACCGTCCGAGTTTGTGACTAACTCACGCAAGCTCTTTCGAATATCCTCATCTCTAGCGTGCGTGGCCTCTTTGAGGCTCATCAAGTCGGTAGCATTATCTCTACTCCGACGACTAAGTTGGGACATTTCCTTCTGAAGAGCGGTTGCGATGTTGGTTAAGTTCAGAAGCTGATTCGAAAGGAATTCGGTGGAAAGCTGTTGCTTCATCATTGGTGTAGAGTTGTTCGTGACGGTTGCCAGTGGTGATTCGCCCTCGCGGGATGATATTGGAGGCATGTTTTGTAATGCCAACATAGTTGCAGACTGCGGTGGCGTATTTTCACCAAGGATACTCTGCGTTTGCCTCCTCACGGGGGGGCGAATAAGGGAAGGCATGATTGACGGCACGGGAGTAGGTGTCCCAGGGGCGGCGTTCTCCTTCTCTGCCGAGGTCAACTCTACGTCTCTGTCTCTGTCGTGGTCCCTGCCACGAATCGGCGTCGACGGCCTTGCGTGCCTATCTTTCTCAAGCGAACCTCGAGGAGTCGAATTGGCTGAGTCTCGATCTCTTGACCCCTCAATCATCAAGCTTAGATCTCTGACGCTACCCGGCTGGAGGGATTGCATTCGTTTGTGAGGACTTTGTCTTTGGACAAGAGAACGTTCTGGTGACGTCTCGTTGGCCCGTTTTGGGATGTGGGGGACAAGAGAGTTCTCGCGCGCCTTCTCAGCTAAAGCTGCATGCGCAGACTGAATAGCAAGCGAGGTACCACTTCGCGAAGGGCCCACGCCGCCAGGAGACTGAGGGTTCATTGGTAGAGGGGGCGGCGCCCGCTCTGGATCGGAGCTGTCCCACCTGGAGCTCTTTGTTAGTCGACGATATAATTACATACCACACTGCTAGGCAACTGGTAGAGGTAAGAGAAGCAGAGAGACAAAACTTACATTGGTATAATAGCTCCTCCTATAGAGGAAGAATGTTGATGTCTTAGAGGCCGATCGACCGGTGCGTCTCGTTCAACCGGTGGCATATTCCTAACCGTAGGAACGGTGTTGCTTCTCTCAGATTGACGGAATGATGTGTCTGAGTCGCAAACTTGCCAGGCACTTTATCACTCTGTGCAGTTATATGCTATTTATGCGTGATGCTTTGGAAGTTTGAAATTACATATAGGCCAGCCTGAGCTGCCCCGTCGAAGCGGGAAGTATGTAAAAGAATTGATGTTACTAGTCAAATCAGATATGATAAGTTGAGAGCGGGCTGGATGGACTTGAAGATTAGACAAAGTAAAAAAACGGAGCATGGGGATCAATCTAAGAAGGACCTGGTAATATGTGATAAGGTCCTGGTACTGTGTATGTGTATGTTGTTTGAAATGGGGTGAAAATGGGGCTGTCCCGCCTTTGCGCCGCTTTGTGTATGGACAAACAAATTAGACGCCTGCCCAATCCCAATTGAGTTGCAACGTCAGACGTCGCTGCCCCGGCAACCGGACCTTGGACCCATAATTATACATATGACATACCTACACCAGTCTACACTACGTACATGTACATATGTATGTATGTACCTAAGGCATGTACATGTTGATTTTCCATGATGTCTTAATTGCACGCAGTAGCCAAAATACCCACATTCTTATTATCATGTACCTAACTTACACTAGTTATTGATAACCTCACATCTTTTCTCTATGGTTCATCACGATGCTATATTAAATTCAATTAATTCCATTATCGTCGCATCCTACCATACTATTGTTCTCCGGTTCCTTTCCGATCATGCAGACGCCTCAACAACACCGCGTGCACTGGTCTTAATACCTATGTAGCTTAAAGCACATGTCATTTTTGTTTATATGTCTAATTGTCTCTTTTTCTATCTGTTGCCCCAAGTACCAGGCTCGAGCTTCGAATGCGGGATTCGCCCCGTTGGTTTGGCCCCACGTGTTTTGTCTTGCTTAGATCCATACTTTCTAGGCTATGTATAAGCGCTGTTCCTACATATCAATAAGAAGCAACATGGAGACAGGGAGAGTACCTAGTAAATACCTTTGCAGGAAACGCCTGGAGAAATAAACACCATATTTACAAATTCAACTACCTACCTTTTATGTGCAACTTGTCACTTCGCATCTCGAAACATCGTGGTGAAGGATCGTCCGCTACCTATACCAGATCAGAGAAGTTGGCGGCGCTAGGTATTTAGTGTTACCGTCTGTTCACGATCCTATGTCGGCTGTGGAGTCCCTGCCCCCTGCTCTATATAGGTACACTAGACTAAATAAACAAGCAAGTAAGCAACCAGCTTTACCATACGTCGGGAACTCGAATGGGTCCGGCGTTCTCGATCAGACCACCTATGGACCCGACCGTATTATCATCAACCGCCCGGGATTCCTTATCACATGCTCATCCGGCAAGGCAACTTGTCATTGGTAGCTGCGGTTTTACCATCAAGACTAAACTCTTATAACCAACACAAAGATCAGATGCCGCCATTTCTAAATAATAGCTAAGTTAGCGCCTTTTAAAGACCGTCAGTTTGAGAAACGAATAAGAAGATCATCACTTAATCAATAAGAGCACATTATAAATGAATATATTGCTGTTAGTCTGTGAAGTTATCATCGTTAACATAGTCACCCAAGTCCGAGACTCCAAAACGCCCTAATCTATCTTAACATCAAAATAGATTCAAGACTAGAGGTCGATACCTAACAGAAGGCGCTGCTATAGTAAGTCTATACAGGAGACTGTGAAGTCTAGTTCACCTCGCGGTATTATGTATTGAATAGGTGCAGTGCTGCTAGGCCTGTAGCAAGGTAGCATATTACGTAGCTTCCAGCCGCACTAGTCTTATAAAGGTCCCATAGCAAGTGATCTCCCCTAATCGAAAACTTGGACAGTATCTCATCATCAATATACACACTCCTTCTGTCTTTTAATGATTTTCTAAAGTATCATGCAGCCTTTCCAACTTAGTTATATTAGTCGTATTCACCCGATCAGCTAATTCTCAGTATCATTCAAAGTATAGTGATAACATCAGCTGTCCAAGGCTTATTTTAGAAGTTTAAATAATTGAAGCGATAAGCTATACTCTACAGGAGACGTCAGGTCCTGCTCATTATATACCCGCGTATGTCCTGACACGGTGGATAAACCTCTCAAAATCCGAGTAGCTTGATTGATCCAAAACATCTATCATTAATTCTGATTGAACATACCCTATTATAAAGTACTCCACCGTATCTCCCTCGCACTTGAGGACATAATTATGTGTTCTTCTATTTCGACTATTACACTTATCCTTCCCCCAAAAGTATATAGTCTAATACTCTGTTATCATGAGAATAATACAAACTTTGTACCTATGAAACCTCTGCTAATTCCTAATGCCTAGCATATTATCGACTGGTCATCGGATGCAATGGAAAGTAAGTGCTCAAGATGAGATGGGTGGTATACTAGCAAGTTGAATCAAGCTAAACCCCGTATAAAAAGCATTCATTAATATCTTCCTAATTTATTTACACACTCGACTTGGCTACTCCACGATATTTCCAAGAAAGTTATCTCAGCATTATCCCTTAGATATTTACTTCATACTCTACTATAGTCATAGCTATAATACAAATAAGTATAGCCACATCCCTAACGCCTCCCGTATAACTAGAGGAATAATTCTCAACTTTCTAAGGTAATAAGATAAAAACAAACTTAAGATTTACACGAATATCTAGCTCACATACATACCTAGACTCCCCATAAAGACAACAGATCCAAATATAATACAATAACATCAATTCCAATACACCCCAAGCACATAAATGCAACAAAAAGCAAAAGAAATAGGTCCTCCTGGGGCTCGAACCCAGAATCTCCTGATTGATACTAATCGTAGTCAGACGCCTTACCATTGGGCCAAAGGACCGGTCGATGAAAAAATCTTCTCAAAAAGGCGCTATATTGTAGTAGCCCCGTTTGCGAGCGGCTCCGCCAGCAGACTTTTTTTTTTCTCTCTCTCGGGCGGATAATCATCGGATATTCATTTATATGTAACTAGTTGATTCAATATGGTGAACTGTTATGTAGGAAAGATCCCGCTGTCTGTAAGTTATGGCATCGTTTGAGCTTTATGTGCGGTGGTGGTGAGGTTTGGTTTGAATCTTACCAGGGGCATAGTATAAGCTACGCCCTTACGCCGTAGTCGTGACAACTTGGACATTTTGCGTAGCCTCATTCGGTGAGGATACAAAAGAAATACGTACAAGCTATTGGGGGTTAGTATATGCCCATTCTGATTTCATATACAAGTCGAGGCTCATACAAACAGCACGGTGAAGAGACCTAGTGAAGTAATCCCAACTAACATACGCGAGCGCTATAGTCAATACACCTACTTATTCATCCACGGAATCTTAATATAAGACATTGCTAAGAGTCGAGTATTTATTTTTAGTTCCTATCTACCCTGCCGAAGTCTTTCATAATCATCTAATAAGTCCAAACCGATAGAACCCGCCCCCCGTAGCGCGTTGCCATCCGCGACCGTTAAAACGCCAGCTCGATCGTATATACATACAGTGGAACGCTAGCGTCTAAATCTATGATACAAGTCAAATGCTCTATTTCAACATTGTGTCGAATGCTGGAATCAATGTCTGGGCAAGCCAGAAGGAAAAGACCAGCTTCGGTCCGGTCATAAGGAGCTACAAGAAATTAGCGCCAAGTCCAAGACGAATCATATGATACTGTTCCTTACCTTAGGTACTAATCCCTTGAAGAAACTGGAGAAACCTTCGTTCTTTGCCATGTTGGACAAGATGCGGAAGCCGCTTTCGGGGTTCTCGAAATTCCTGTTCTGAATACGGGTCTTGATAACGTCCAAGGGAGCGGAGACAACCAAGGATGCCGAAGCACCGGCAATCGAAGCGATAAAGTTCTGGAACCATGACGCCTTGTTATAGTCGTTCAGTGCGAAGACGTATTCCTTGGTGAAAGCCGAGCCACCGAAGAGCTGTCAAGTGTTAGAGGTATATCAAAGGAGGGGATTAAACCATCTTAATGAACGTACTGCAAATGATCCAGGAGCATTTCGGGCTGCAGTCCATCCCCAACCTCTATATAATCCAAAGCCTTCATCGGCGATAATCTTGAAAATGCCTCGTCCTCGGAACGCTTCCGGGTTGGTCTGGCGCTTGATCTTTAATACGTCTAATGGAAGTAAGACGATCTCACCAATACCGATCAGACTAGAATATGTCAGTTGGTGGAATTAAGAGAGTAGTAGATTTAAGACTGACCTGCCAGCAGTCGAGTGCATAATCGCTTTGCCGGTTTTCTTTCCGAAAGCGCTTTCGAAGTCCTTGCCGTAGTGCGCCGCAAGATAATCCCTTGCGATGGGTTGGCCGCCATACTTGTATATTCTTTGCAGAACCTGTACGGGATATTTAGCCTCTTAACTTTCCGCCCGAGTAGAAATCATCTCGGACCTTATAACCCGCTGCATAACCCAACCCCGGGAAGAGCGAGAAGAATTTTCGACCGAATGTCGCCTCTGCCTTGTCCTTGAAGATGACCTTGTTCAGTTCGCTGGCGCTCTTAATCTATAGGATAATTAATATTGCGCGTTTCTTGGACATTATAGGTGAATCATTCGCACCTTCGTCTGGTTGCTCATCAATCGCTTGGCAATGGTGTCGACCTTTGGACTTATTAGTCTTGCGCCGCAATATTTCGAGCTGTACAAGCACGCACAGGATGGAAGACAGCCAATTCCGAAATACCAGCAGAGCCTATGATATATTTGTTAGTGATTATTCTTTGTATGATTTTTGTTTTCAACCCTACCGGAACCGAGGAGTCGAGCGAGATTTGACTCGCGCTCCTTGCCAGTGACCATCGGCGCCATTATGAATTACAAGTAATGCTATACCGAAATTCCAAGGGTAAATAAATAGATAGATGGCAACCTAGATGTCCCGGGTTGAGAAGACTCGACGGGATAGTCTATAAAAAAAAGGGCACGACGAGGGATTGAAGATATGAACGACGGCGGACTCGAAGGAGAAAAGGCTCACACGGAAAGTCGAACAAAATTTCAATCGCGCCGGAGACTATTGGAAAAAAAAAAATCTAGATCTCATTACCAATTTGTACCGCACCAACCTTAATTTAGCGGGGAGCTTGCGGGAGCTCCAAGGGTCCCCCCGAACGATCAGGGCTTTATCAGTGAGCGATAAGATATCATAACCATACCCCTCATGTACCTTGTATAAAATAAGAGGTACATTAGGTACCGTCCATATCCTTATATCGTTACAGTCCTGCGAAGTTGATTCTTTTAGGTAGGATTATACATATATATGTATACGCAAGTGTCCATGTGACATTGGTATATTATTAAAATTCATAATACCATCTGGGGTATAAATCTAGAAATGTAGCTATTGTACAGTCGCTAGTAGACTTGTCATCTATCGGGACGTACAATCCGAGATGTGGTCCGACTTACCACATTCGGGGTTTAGGACCGACCAAAATGAGTAGAAGACAACGCCGTCCGATATGCAAAAGTCACTTTTTAAGCCTCTTAGGCTGTACCACCCGTGACCCAACGCCGCCATAATGCAAGATATCCCTCCTATACCGGTATCATTTGCGAGAATGAACCCTAGAAGTCTCTGAAGACTGCTACAATATCGTCGAGCTTTCCAACTTGACCGAGCAATTTCTTTTCAAGGTCGAGAAACTGCACATATTCATTATATATGTCACCTCTCAGTTTCTCTTCTTCCATTCCCTGAACATCCTTACGTTCGGCAACGGAGAGAACGCTCGCCTTCTTACGACGCTCCACATCCAATCGCTGTAGACAGCGTACCATGGACTTGTAGGTATTGTCTAGTGTTCGTTGTAATGTTCTTTCAAGGTCGAAAAACCAAAAGAAAATTGTCCGGGCGGCCGCTCGGTTGTTGTCCCGGGGTACCTCTTGGACGTCCAGGAATCCCGCCATCTCCATCTCCGCCATCTTAACATGCACATCTGGCTTCTTCATAAGAGCCAAACTGGGCAATGTTTTGTCGTCGATCTTCCCCTTTTCCCTAAGAATTCGTGTGAGACGCAGACCCCGACGGCCAAAGCGGTTCTCGATAAGCGTATCAAGTTCGAGGAACTTTAGGTGCTGCATAAGCGGTTCGAAATCGACCGTCCATTCACCGAAATCAAGACTGCCACAGTGTCGCACAAAGCCCTCCTTACTTTCGGCAAGGATAAGTAGATGTTGTCGCATCTGATGCAGCCGCTTGGTGCCGATCGGAACGCTGTCGTCCACTTGCATTTTGACTTCATCTGAGCCATTCTGGCCATGCAATCCGAAGCTAGCAGCTGCCTCCCCGCTGGGATCGTAGTCTTCGTCGTCCGACTCAACGATTTCTTCCCCTTCCTGGAGCTCTTCCTTAAGGGTCGAGCCCTTAAGTTGCGGAGGAAACCGTCTAATCTTTTCTGCATAGCGAATATCAATGGCACCATCTTCATGGAGCATTCCAACCCCGCCTGATACATCAATAGAAGGGCTTAGATGTTCAAAAATCTCTTGACTAGTGACACGGGGTCCAGTAGAAACATCGCTGTTCTCATCTTCAACCTCGATTGATTTATCGGTCTGACAACGAGAAATCTTTTTGCTCAGTACGTCAAGTAATGTTGCGTACACCTTTGCTGTGGTATCGCCAATCAAGTCTTCTACGTAGCGCTCGAGTTTAAGATTGCGGAGTTCGACCACACATTTATCATAGTTCACCCGAAGTACGGTATCAAGCTGAAGGAAATGTTAGCGGATTTCCAGCGCAGATTTCTTCGTAGTAAGAACTCACGCTTCTTAGCAGAATGGATTTTGCTCTTCCGTCGGTAGGTGTATTGGATGTCGTGCCGTTAGTTAGCTTCCGGCGCTTAGAGCTGGCCTCGTTCTCGAGTTCAAGTTCAAGACTCTTCTTCAAGTCCGTATTTTTAAGATGAAATTCCCTTAGCTTGTCTCTAACATACTTGTCAAATTCGGCTGTCTGCTTGGCTCCTCGAATGCCAGTGGGATAGTTGCTAGCTAGGAAGTCTTGCTCAATGGTGCTTCTTAGATCCTGCGGAGATTGACACATCGCTAGCGTCAGCGGCTCAAGAATGCCAGCCGCAATAAGCTGTGCGAGACTCTCGTAGACTTCATCCTCTTGGTTGATATCTTCATCCCCTATCTTTATGTCGCCTATACCATTACTAACGCCATTGCCATTGACATGGTGGCCATTTTGGGATATGCCGTTGACAGTCTTTTGCTGCGTACGCCGCTCCTTGAACGCTGCGATCAAGTCGGAAATCTTCATATGGCCCTGAACAAGAACCTCGTGCACAAGAGTATTTGCATCAGATCCATACTTTTCACGGACCATGTCAAGGATCTTTCCCGTTCGAACAAGATTATAGGCAGCATGGGGGTTTGCGTCGTAATATGTGGTACCCGAGTCTTGGTCCGTAAAGTGGAAGATGAGATTTAGCTGGATGAGCACAGCGATCCCATGGCGCACTTGTCGCTGGTTGAGCGATGTGTGCTGCGCTAATTGCGCAATGGTCGACCTGCCTCTTGTGATAAGATCCGCAAACATGCGCTGCGAAGTAAAAGCTGTTAGCTTCGAGGCTGCATAATTAGAGACTCTAGAGGATGTGATCTAAAGGAAGCATTACCGATGGGAGCTGACCGTACAGCTCACTGATTAGCAGAACACAAAGTTCTGCAACATTTTTTGTCTAATAATTATAGATATTATCAGTATTTTGCTCAATACAATAGGGATATAGTTTTGCGCGACGTTGCAAAAGCTATAGGGACTTGAAAAGAACCATCACTTACCACTAACATGACTGGCTGAGCTTGGGGTTACGTCGCGAGGTGAATAGATAGGATTTTGGGACTTGTCGAAGAGGTTGGCTTCTAGAGATCCTCTCACTATCTCTAGAGCACTACAAATACTACCGCGGCTTCATTGAAGCATTTGGCAGAGAATAGAGAGAGAAAGGTGCGCCGACGAACACGAAGGTGGCGCAAGAAGTTTTGTTATGTAAAGTCGAAAGTTGGTTTAAGAAGGAATGATTTGCGCAGCGCGAAGTGAACAATAGCGTATAAAAATAATTTTGATGTAACTACTCTTTTGGGATAGCGGGGAATTCTAATTATGTACATAGCAGGCAAGCATTGTACCTAAGCGGTTGTACATATGAAAATTTACCTAAGCAGCTAAGGTAAGCTCCCCGCCCCAAAGCTTTTTTTCCCTCTCCTCATGTTGACTCAATCGGCCAATAGAAGTTAATGGCAAGTGGCTGACCAGACTCTAGCCCCGTTAAGCCTCAAATAACCTACCGTCAGCCCGTAACCGAGAATTTACCGGAATTGAGCATCTTTTTGCTCCGACTTGCGACTTGGAAGCTCTCAACGATCTGCGGATTAAAAGCTGTTGTCGCAGACTTTAATAGCCAATTGTTGACGGCATCGCCCTCTAAAATGTTCTCTCGATCGGCTCTCTCCAGAGGTGCCCAGCTTGCCGCTCGTAGGCAAGGCTGTTCGCAGCTTGCTCAGCGCCGAGGTTATGCTGCCGCATCTTCGGCACCATCCGCTTTCAACTATGACACCACCGAAGTTGCTGGTATCAAGGTAGCTACCAGAGACTTACACGGTCCGACAACAAAACTCGCTGTTGTCGCCAAAGGTGGTACTAGGTATCAGCCTGCTCCTGGTCTCACTGTTGGTCTTGAAGAGTTTGCCTTCAAGGTGAGCGAGCCTATATCTCTCGTTATTGGGGGGTTTTTTATCCTGTCGTGAGCTAATTAGACGCAACTATATTAGGGCACCGAAAAGCGAACCGCCATACGTATTACGCGAGAAGCTGAGCTTTTAGGAGGTCAATTAGCCGCATACCACACCCGAGAAGCGTTAATTATCGAAGCAAGCTTTTTGCGAGAGGACATCCCTTACTTCGCCGAACTGCTGGCAGAGGTCATCTCTCAAACTAAGTATACCAGTGAGCAATCTGAAGCCATTGGGTGGCGACAAAATGCTCACATAGTTTATAGCGCACGAGTTTCACGAGGATGTCGAGAGGGTTTTGAAGGTAAAGCAGGCTAAGCTTGCCATCGACGTTTCCGCTCTTGCTCTCGACTCGGCACATTCGGTCGCCTTCCACACAGGCCTTGGCGCTTCCCTATACCCGACGACTTCAACCCCTCTGAAAAGCTACCTGAACGAACACTCCGTCGCTGACTACGCGGGGGCCGTTTACGCAAAGCCTAATATCGCTCTGGTTGGAGACGGAGCTACGACAGCTGCTCTACACAAGTGGACAGGACAGTTCTTCAGCAGCGTACCCGCATCATCGTCTAGCTCTGCCACGCTTAACACGAAATCCACGACGTACTATGGTGGCGAGCAGCGTACGGCTCACACTGCCGGAAACTCTTTAGTCATTGCTTTCCCTGGTTCCAGTTTCAGCTCTTTCAAGCCCGAAATTGCGGTCTTGGCAGCCCTGCTTGGTGGACAGGCTAATGTCAAGTATTCGCCTGGTTTCACTCTCCTGTCTAAGGCTGTGGCCTCGGCACCCAACGTAGTTGCTTCGGCCACCAACCTGGCTTATTCGGATGCCGGACTGTTGACTATTCAAGTCACCGGCGCCGCCGCCTCAGTTCGCAAAGCTGGTGGGGAGGCAGTCAAGGCTCTTAAGAGCATCTCCGAAGGCAGCATTAGCAAGGAAGACCTCACTAAGGCGATTGCCAAGGCCAAGTTTGACGTGTTAGACGCAAGCCAGTCGGGTGTGTCGACGCTCCTGTCTGCCGGTTCTGGTATTATCCATACCGGCAAGCCCTTCCAGATCGCCGAGAATGTCGGTTCAATCGACGGTATCACAGCAGACAAGCTAAAGACGGTATGCTCATCTAATTTTCCCTATTGTTATTGTTTGCGAATGCTAATTGTTATCATAGACAGCAAAATCCCTTCTCGAGGGTAAGGCCACCGTGGCTGCGGTTGGTGATCTGAACGTTCTGCCATATGCCGAGGAGCTTGGTTTGAGGGTATAGAAGGGGAAATTTGGGCAGCAAAAGTGTACCAACAGATTAACCCACCGCTGTAGAGTCGAGCCGAGCCATATGTGCATATAGTAAATCCCCTAGAGTTTTCTTTCAAGTTTGAACACACTCAACTACCCGATTATAGGTAGGTAGCACGATTTGTACTTGAGCATGCGATGGTGATTAATTTGTGAATGGTATTGGTCTAGAATTACATATATATATAATAAGCTCTGTGTATTAATGTCCTACGAAATCCCAAATATACAATTTATTCTTATTTCTAAAGGGGGTTTCCTAGCAGGGAGGTTTGAGTTGGAGGTCCAAGTACCTAGGTACCTGGATAATACTGCATCCAGTCTCCATACAATATTTCTTAATCACGTGAAAGCTCGGGCCACTACGTATCTTAATGACGGGCTTCGGCTAACGGTCTTTCTCGATTCCACCGCCGCAGCTATCTTTTGATTCCGTGCATACAAACGAATCTTCAATCAATCCCTGATCCCCAATTGAACCTCGAGCAATTGTCAACATGGTGTTCGCGTGGAAAGCCGCTGGTTTGAGGTAAGTCAATTTTCCTTCTATATATCTCGAATCGTCTCTCGGTAGACCTAATTTGCCTCGTTTGCTAACCGCTCCTCCGATCGAACAGCTACAACCGCTACCTTGCCGTCGCAACCCGCGTCGTGCGCCGAAGCTTGAAGGAGGAAAAAAGACTAATTGCCGAACGACGAGGAGATACGGAACTACGATTCGCTAAGTGGGAGGTGAGTTGACTATTCCCGACAAGTGGAATTTTGGTACATGGGTATCAGGAGTTTGAGAGTTAGTAACTGACGGACTATATGCCTCAATTTATAGAACGGCAAGATGGGCGAGACGAGACCCTTAGCTGAAGCCAACGCCGCTGCTGGTGTTGCATCCGTTTCCAGTGGTTCGTCATAAACTACGAAACTACGAAATATACGAATCCTTGATGAGAGTGAAACTTGCGAGGATGGGTAGGACCTATAAGACACAGATGCCGCATGCGCATGCGCATACGGATAGACAAGATCAACGGTAGCAAAACACCATTATGCCGCCTCGTGTATAGCTGTATAAAATAAAGCAGTTTCATCCTAAAAATAAGTCCCTTAGATTTACCTACAATACCTACAATAGGTAGATACTAAATCCGTGCGTATATGTCGAAGTCAATTCATGCTATTAAGCCGCATTTGAATTCGAGTAGGCTAAGGCAAGTAATATGCAATGTACCCATGCGTCTATAAAAGGGCAATTGCTGTGTAGCGATGTCTCTAAGTGGTACTTGGGCCGGTTACACCTGTCTTGGTTGACATCGAAAAAAAACCATAAAAACCTCTTATCAAGGGAACGTGTAAACCTTAGGTACATGCCACTTCCCAAGCAGGTTATGTAGGTCCTTATAAATTAACAACCTAGGTACCTAACCTATCAAATCTATGTTTTTTAGTTATTTAATATTGTTGTTCATCTATCAAAAATATTCGTAATTCTAAAGTCTTCCACTCAGGTTTGTTCATCCCAACACACCTTATCTGGTATATTTTAGTACTACACGTTTCGACACTAAAAATTTACATACACAGTAGCCAATTAATCCCTAATCCTAATTGCAATTACCTCTTCATTCTTCCATTTCACCGCGCCATCCGCAAAAAAACATCCATCCATATATACAACTGACCTATGGTTACTCTTCAATCCAGAAACCCATAATATCCGCCTATTGCTACTCCTGCCAAGACTAGAGTTAATGTAATTAATTATATTGTGGGTACCTTCAGCTGGGAATACCACCAGACCAGGTTCGACAAAAGACTCATAAATCACATAGACATAGGCTAACAAGAAATAGAGCCACGATTGATCTCATAGCCCATAAGGGCAACAGTCAAGATGCAACAGTTTAATATAGTATCACCTTCGCCAAACATATCCCATCCCGGAGTCAGGGCAACGGATATCACTAAGAAATTTGCCTCTGCCGTAAAGAGTGCGCTCAAGTATTTCAGGCCTTGCCCAAAAGATTATTTACTGATCTGATAAATAGCTTTGGTACCCGGACAACTTGTAAAAGATGACCATTTTACCCTTTTCGAGTCCGTCGCGGCTCTGGAGGTGAGTCCACATCGCCATCTTAAGTCTAGCACTACCAGAACGTGTCTGCTAAGAGAAATCCCGCTAGATTATGGACCGAAAAATGGATAGTGGTGCTCTAGCAGAAGGGGAATCTTTAGACGAAGAATATGACGTTTCTCGCGATCTGCTCCCAGAAGAAATACTTGGAATTATCGACCAGCTTCTTTGCCTTGAGGTGTGTGTCTTAGATGAGCGACAAAGCTTCTACTCTGAGTTTCTACCGGCCTAACATTATGATTAGATGGCCTGGCATCTTGGCTATCCCCTCTCCCAGACTCTCTTCACGAGCATCTACATAGAGTCGCTCATGAACCCTCATCCAGCCAGTATAGATGAGGCTGAGTTCATAAGAGATCCTCAGGCCCGCGAGAAGCAGCCGAAACTACTCTTCGTTCTACGGGCTTATTGCCTCGGACTCCTTAAAGCATGTTGTTTCGTAAACGAGCTTGTGAAAGATGAGCTTTACTATGAGGTAAGACTGGCGAGGCGGAATGATGATCATCTTAATAAACTACTAAAAATATATAGGAAGAAGACTTTGTTACAAACACGTACGATCGTGATCTACTTCTTGATATACCCGTTAGCTCCGTCAATAATATACTACAGCAGGCCCGGGGCGACCTTCGTGCCGCTAGTAATGAAGTTTCGAAGGATATCTCTGCGGCCCTAGACCTTCGACTTGAGCTACGTATCGCATTCTTAAGGGCCATTGACTTATCAGGCCTACGGAAATCTAACCCAGATTCCTTGAAGATGCCCTGGGTACAGATGAAAGGTCTGCTTGAGCACATCAAAAAGCAGCATTCGTTAGGCAAGCCGGTCCCAGAAGCTTTCAGCACCAAACTGCAGCGACGGCTGGCGAGCACAATGCCCCCGCGCCCCATGGTCCAGCCTAGCTTTGAAGAGAGCTATGGCCATCTTAAACGACTTTTCCAAGATGGAGTTGATATCATGGATATTCTGAAATATTCGGAACCACAAAGCCTTTTGGTAAACTCTTCGAGTCAGTTTTATAATAACTGGGTTAACTCCTTTCTTAGAATTTCGTCTTGTTGTTCCAGGCGAGAAAGCCGCAACCACTAGTTTATATCAGGACATTACTTCAGAATCTCTTATTCAGAGAAATGGTCGTCCTAGGCAACTATAGCATCCGGCAAATAATTGATCATGACCTCTCAATCGTTGTAATGCCCTGTGCACCACAGATCGATGCTTCCTACGACGAAATCGAGATCCCGACTGATCCCCGTCACCAGACTGCAGCGCAGATGGAAATTTTCCGACAGCGCGTGGCTGAATGCTATTTAGATGTCTTCAGGATATTCTGCCAGAATAGATGTAGGGTTCGACGCACACTATGCCACAATATACAAGAGTGGGATATGCTCCAAATAGACGTCGAGGAGATCGACCAACTTCTCCAAGTCGCCCTAGATGAGAGGCCCCTTATTACAGACAGAGGTAGTATCGGGTTTTCTCTCCCTCTATCATCATGGGCGTATCTATACAAGCTCAGGCAGATGGAGTGGATCGTTCAACTCGGATTCGAACTTGAGGTTTACCAGACGGACGAACTTGCTGGAATGTACTGGTACTTAAACTACCTGGCCAAGACGCGCGCGCAGCACGGTGATCGTATCAAGTCATTCACAATGCGCAACCTAGACGAGGCACGCCATGGCCTCGACAAAAAAAAGGGCGATCAAGAACTACCGCAATACACAGCCGCTAAGGAGCGCGAGTATATGACCTCGTTGTCATACTTGCGCATAACTATGCTTGACGCGGCATGCACATGGGAGTTTGCGGATGGCCTTTGCTGTCTATATACGGCGTTACAACGCCTAAAGCTCATCGCTCCACCGCAGCGCCCCTATAGTACCGATATCATGCGCTATGATCTGCGCATGAAACCCTTCCGAACAATCACGCTACCCCAGTTACCTACATTTGACGAGTTTACGCGCGCAACCCTCCAGCCCGAAACCCCAACACCTGATTTGCTTAAGTATGCTGAAAGTTCTGTCGGCGGCGCGAAAAAAGGGTATGAGGCTTTAAGTAAGATGTCGGACACACAATCCTTCAGCGTCAACGCGCACGAGCAGTGGGTCAGTAATATCCGGAACTGTCTGAAAGCCGCGATCGCAGCGGGCGTCGCGGTCTCAACACTGCAAAGGGCGTTGGATAAAGCTGGGAAGGACGAGGATGGTGATTCACAGCTAAAGCTTAAGGTTGAGATGCCGGCACCCGGGAAAGGGTATCATGACTGGTGGATCGTTCCGAAGCTAGTTCCTGTGGCGTGAATTTTTTTAAGTCCGGATGCGGATACTGGATTATGATCAGGATGAGGATTGAGTAGTTGGGTATAGGAAATTAATTGGGGAAGGGTATCGGGAGAGATTGGGGGTTTGGCACATGAGCATGCATGGATATTATTCTATTACGATAGATCAACTAGAGAATTGCAGAAAGTACATTACGATATTTGGATAGTTCCTTTTATTCGCTATTCGAGGGTATTCATGGCTTAATTTCTTCCGGGGCACATATGCCTTGTGTTGATACATAGAACTAGATATGATATTTCCTTCATTCCTCCCTTGGCTTTTCTACTCATTCACCTCCCTCCCTCTTGATTGCGCTAATGTCAACAAAATAACCCAAGTTAAGACAAACAATGTCGGGACTGCGCCTAGGTAACAAGGGGCCAAGAGCCTCCTATTTCAAAAGATACAATATGTACAGAGTTAAGGCCAGCCAAAGCTCATGCAAGCTATAGTAGATGCATCGCCAACCGTAGATTAGGTAGGTACTTATGCCTTGATACTTATGCCTTGACGGCCCTTCTAGCCATAGTGCCTCGGAGCTTTACTGTCTGCTCGTAGAGAACGTCCTTGAAGGCGAAGAGGAAGGCAGCCGTCAAGACACTCTGGGTGACTTTGGGGCCGATGCCTGGAGTAACGATGAGTTAGTGTATCACCAATCGACTAAATAATGGTTAGATAATTAAGAAGATATTAAGCATACCCTTATACAAGCCGGAATAACCCTCTTCTTTGATAACTCGCCGAATGGCCTGGGTCATGCCCTCGCGCTTCTGGCCGTCATCGGCCACGTGCATTTGACTCTTAACAGTAATGTATGGGTAGGTGATGGAGGTGGCAAACAGCTTGCCGAGAGCGCCTAGGAAAAATGCTACGGTTGGGGTTACGTTGCGCTTCCGTCTTCGTTCGTACGCATTCTTGAGCTGCTCGAATAGCGTGTACTGCAAGATGGGGTTGATAACTAGCACAAGAGCCGGCACGACACCGCGGAAGAGCGCCTGCGGGCCCTCGTCGCGTAGTAGTGCTGATAGGGTACCCAAGGTAGTCGGCTGCTTCTTCTTTTCTACGGGAGCGCCGTCGGTGTTCTCCTCGGCCTCGATTTGTCCCTTGCGGGTCGTCATGCGCGTGTTCACGACCCAGATAGGGTTAGTCAAGATGACAGTGGCGGAACCAGCAATGGCACCGGCGATAATAGATTCGATAGCGGTGAGCTTCTTAGAAGCCCGTCCGGAACGGGAGGCGGCGGCCTCGAAGAAGCCGCGTGTCCATTCGTACCAGTAGTAGTAGACGAAGTTGGTAACACTAATACCGAATAAGGCGCTGTCGAGGCCCGCGTATAGTCCCGAGACACCCTCGCGCGCAACAATCTGTTTCACGGCGGATAGAAAGTTGGTCTCGGCTCGCTTGGACTCGACCTGCGCGCGGGTGGAAAGGGTGATGAGCGGATACGTTAAGATCATGGAGAGGATCCCGCCGCCGGCGCCGGCAAGGGCGTGAGCGACGTTGTCGTTCTGGGGGACGGCGGGCTTGGACGACGCCATCGTGATAGGTTGTTTAGTTACTTATGTAAGGGATAGTTATGGGATATCGGGATTATATCAATCTGAAAGCTTTCCAGATGAAAGTAAATTAATAAATAAGGCTTGGTTTGGTTTGATGGGAATGGGAAAAGTCAAAATGTTATTACACCCGACTTACACGTCGGAACATTACATTGAAAGAGTAAGTAATAACTAAACGGTAAATGGCTGCTGGATTAAAGAAATGATTGGAATTGAGGTCCCATTGAAGCTGAGAGCCGAGGTCCGATTTGCATTGCATCACAATGCGGCTTAGTCCCCCCTCTGTTCAGTGGGATGTAGCCCTGCGATTCCCTATAATCCCCTGTAAATCCACCTGAGCCCGAGCCGAAACCCGCCTGTAAGAGGCCTGTAAGCCATTTTAACCTCGCCCCATCTGGCATCTGGCACGAGGTCGGCATTCTTCCCCATGCTTTTCTCCCCGGCTTTGCCCCGCATCCAATTCGTTAAAGAAGCTAAGACCTCCAAATTACCGACTTTCACATGCGAGATGGGATCGCTTATTATCTTTTTATCTTGTGATGATGATGGTGATGATGATGATGACGATACGATGCACTCACTAATTTAATAGGTTTTATAAGCGAATCAGGTAGGATATGATAGAATGTGTAACCATATATACTTACATACCTACCTATTTTTTATATCTTGACATTACATACTTATGGCGCATCTTCATTCTATTTTACAAATTACATCACCAGGTACATTCATATATAGTGTATACATACCTCCCTCACAACATTTGCCAGCCTTTACATAATACGCCATAGGAGTAGGTCACCATAGGGCTGACCTAGTCCCAAATACTTAAATACCTGATATTAGTTACATTCTTCCCAATCTCAATCATCAACATTGATACCACCCCAAAAGGCCAAATATGCCTATAGGTATTCTTAGCAACGCCGACCCTAAATTTGAGACAGCGCACGACAAAGATATCAGAGCGTGCCGTGATACAAGTTTCATGATGGCATGCAAAAAGACCGTGATAGTGGCTGGTGGGTAGATGAAGAGATCATACCGTGCCCACGGAGCGCAGGTTTACGAATATCTACCACCTGAATCCTACTTTGCTGAAGGTATTTGCCCAATGAACTGGCAAGGCAGACAGGCAGACAGAAAGAAAGCCTACCTACCTCCTACCAAGGTATGTTTTACAGAAAAAGGGGTTAATTACTATGTACATGCTGCTGGCAACTCCTAGTGCATTAAGCTTATGCACCTAATGCACCTAATGCACCCGTATGCATACGAGTCACGTGGGTATATACCCAAAAATAGCAGAGTTACCACGGTACATGCACAACAAAATCTCCCGGCCCATCTAAAACAGCCGTGCGCTCGTGGCACCAGCCTCCGCCAGCGCGCTCTCAAAATAGAATTCGGCATAATAGGTATTGGACACCGGAGGAGGCTTCATCAACCATTCCGTCTCTTGTTTTTCCCCATTAACTTTTGCCACATCCCGTTTCTAACAGCTTCAATAACGCTCAAGACGGGGAAACCCGCTACTATTTTATTTCCCTTTTATCATTTGACTAGTTATTTATATTTCCCACCAGTTATAAACGTCGATACTATTTATTACTAACTATTACGCATCGTCACCGGGCCAATGTTTATTATTTATCACTTACACCAGGCTTACATGATCACATCGACTTAGGGGCCAATTACGAAAGACGAGAGATGAGACAGGCAAGTTGTGTTACACGCAGACACAGACACAGACTTGATGAGAATAGTAAAGCTACCTTATTTGTTACTCGTGTTGCGAAGAATACCAAGTCTATAAACATTACCAACCATTACGTGAGAACTTCAGCCAGTCAAACGCGCCCAGAATCTCCCCCCCTATAATCGTACCTTTCCCCAACTATCCATGGGGATAATTGCGCACTTCGCTATCTTATGATTTTAAGATGGCGCTCTCTACCCCAACTAGCAACGGTTCCCGTCGCTTTAACCCTCTTCCGTCTCCTTCTAGGAATGAGACTCCTAGGTCCGCAGGGCTCATAAGACCGACACTACCTCAAAAGAGCGTGACCAGTGCTTCTATTGAGGATTCGTACGTAAGTTTTATTCTCTACTGCAACCCGGCAGTACCTCTAGAAACGGATACGGCAGCACTCAGAGAGGCCTTTCGAACTCCGCCAAAGAGTGAGGGCAAGAGCTTCAGCACATTTACTTTATTCGAACTTATCAAGCAGCTACACTCTAAGGAACTCAAGACGTGGGCAGAGTTAGCATTGAAGCTGGGCGTCGAGCCGCCGGATCACGACAAGGGACAGAGTTCTCAGAAGATACAGCAGTATGCCGTCCGCCTAAAGGTAAAGCATATCCAACTTATTCAAGAACAGCGTGACTTACCTATAATAGCGATGGATGCATTCCATGCACATCAATGCCTTCTTCGACTATTTGATGGATAACCCCCATCCTTATTGGACCCAGATCCCGAGTGATCCAAATCCTGTATGTGACGAGGGTAGGGATGGAGTTGCCGCTGAAGATGATATGGCATTGCGTGCCTTATTACCTCATATCCGACCGCGACGGGGTCGAAAGAGACCCGAGGACGACAGCTTTAGCAAATCCCCGTCACAAAAGCCAAGGTTAGAGTCTCCAAATTTCAACGGGGAGGCTAGAACCGCGCGTCCAGACTCTTTAGATCCGTGGACCGCCCATCCGGACGGAAGAAGTGCCTTTATGTTTCCGTCTGTTGATCCGCGATCGAGTGTATTGCCGGAAACAAATTCTGCCTTCCCGTGGAGTAACGATGTTTCCCGTGAACCCATGTCAGCCTATCCCCAATCTGCAATGACGCCGTCGACGAGAGGGACATTCTGGGGAGACCCCGCGGAACCTCGTTCAGCAATTAGTCCGTCTAAAGCCAGGTCTCTCGGTCGTCGCCACGGAGCGAAGGTAGTCTCTTCTGCTTGGAGGAGTGGCGGCGTATCCACAAGTGGCAGGCCCCGTGGGAGACCTCCTAGCAGTCGGCCTAGCGACGGTCCATTGTCAGCAATCCCAGACGAGCATAATGAATTCCAAACAGCGCCTTTTGAACAGAGTACGGCCCAATTAAATGCACAGCCCACCCAAATGCACCCTCCGGATTCAGTATCAAAATCCGCCGGACCTACTTCCGCACCAACCGTACCAACGACAGCGCCAACGACAACGCCAACGACTACTACTCCTACCACTCGGCCTTCTCGGCCTGGCCGCCTCTCTCTGCAAGTACCAGAAAGAGCCGGTGGACCTGTCAGGCTAGCAACTCCTCCACCTCCTGTTGTAATGGTAAATGGAAAGAGCACGGTTAATGGGAGTGTGCCCAACGGCGCCGGGGTATTAACAGCTAGTCCCATAGAAGACACTTCGATATTTGACCGCACTGCGAGTGTATTCACGGCCGGGCCAATCGACGATCCGACTGGCCCTGTCGTACAATTTGAATTCGACGATAGCGATCGGACGAACCGCGACGAGATGGAAACCTTGCTTGTCGCGGACCTCCTCGAAAGCACGTGGTACGATGAGAAAGGGCAGCCTAGCCCGCCAGCCGATATCAACGAGGCGCTCGCCCTAGCCCGGGCCATCATCGCGGGCCTTGCAAAGAGGAGCCGCACCTCGGAGACATTCCTCATTGCTACGGCAGCACTAGCAGGCGCCAGGCACCTCCCTAAATCAAGCGGCGGTACAAATTCAGTACACCGCCTCGAAGTCGATGTGGACTATACGCGATATAGCTACACGTGGGATCTGCGCTGCGGGCTCGCGAATGCCCGATTCCGGTTCACAGAGATAGTGCCTCATGCGCGCTGGAAGAAGGGCTCGCAGCATCGGGGTGAAGGCGCTGACGTCCCTGCCGAAGGGGATGCTGCGGTGGAGTTCTGGCGCAGGAGGTATGCTGACCTCGTGCATATGGTTGGGAGGGGGAGGAGGCGCGAGGATGTGGTGTCTGTTGTGAAGGAAGGTAGGGATGGGGGGGTAATGAGTAAGTAAGTGTTATTGACGGGTTGGTTTGTGGATGATGTGTTGCGTACACCTGAGGTTGTTATTGCTACCTATGCTATGTATACATACCTAGGTACATAGGTAGGAGTCGTTTACGGTTTACGATTTATGTATGTACCTAGTTTAAAGATGTCCTTGGAGGGAAGGGCTGGAACGTCGGGTTTGATTTGATGGCGGTGAGCTTGTTGAGGCTCGTGTATTATGTATTGTGTATTGTTTACTGTATTTCTATGAGATACCCCGAGAGATTAGGTAGTTGGGTGCTTTAGAGAAGTAAGGCGAGTTAATTATGTTGTGTTATTGTTTATCGGTGCTGTGTTCTGTAGATTGGTGCAAACTGCTATATCATGCGGTCGTGTAAGTTGGGATATAACGAAATCCCGATGCACTTAAGATGAGATTTGAATGTAGGTAGGTATAGTTTCATGTGCAAAACAGAAGATAAAGTTTATTAGTGAGATGACAGCGTACATGTGAACCCGTCTGAAACTTGCGCCTGTCGTGATATGATAGTTTGACCGCAAGTTTAAGTGTGGTGCTCTTTCTCTTGAGGATGTAGCAAAGTTGTGATACTCAATATATTTGTACAGGTTGGGCACTTTAGCGAATCATCACCCTCTGCTATTTTACTTACTTCGTCATCCTCAAAATGCCCTAGGGACACCATCTCCATATCGTCTTGCCCTAAATTTATATTATACATTCTTGTTATATCATATATCATATATTCTACAGAATGCTCTTGTCTCAGTGATAATCCTAGCACTATGTCCGAAAAAATTGAAAAGCCACGGGTGTAAGAACTATGAAATTGATCGCTCGATAGGGGTTATTATATTATATATGTATCCTTTACTAATATAATTAATCTAGCCGTAAGACCTCGATGTATCGCTACGATGCCTCGACAGAAATAGGAGTTCGTCCTGACGCAAAGGCACACATCGACCTCAACAACAACCCAAACGCTACGTCTGTAGCCTAATGCCGAGATTTAGGAGGTACCCAGCTAACCCAAGCCGTTTTACGAGGAATAGGATATCAAACCCCTTAGCGAATATCCCCCGCGAGCATCTTCTCGACCAGGTCACTCGGTTTTCCGAATGGAACGATCTGTGCGAATACGTTCCCCTCATGCGCAAGGGGGCTCTCGTTGCCAAGGATCCCGTTAGTTTCGAGGATATCGAGGGCCCGGAGGCGCTTGATGCCGAGGAGGTTGAGGCTCTGAGGAGGGAGGTCACGCATAAGTGGAAAATCCCTAAGCTCCTTTATCTAACTATATTCGCCTGCTCTATAGGAGCGGCTGTACAAGGATGGGATCAAGAGGGCACCAATGGAGCCAATCTTTCGTTTCCTGCGCAGTTTGGTATCGGTGGGAATTCGGACCGTGATGTGCTACTTGTCGGTCTCATCAACGCGGCTCCTTATATTGGGTCGGCGCTTATAGGTTGTTGGCTTTCGGATCCGCTCAATAACCGCTTTGGACGTCGAGGAACTATATTTATTTCCGCCATCATCTGCTTGATAGCTCCCATACTTGGGGCTCTTACCTGGAATTGGAAACAATTCTTAGTGTCGAGACTGCTTCTCGGTGTTGGCATGGGACTCAAAGGCGCTACCGTACCGATATATGCTGCTGAGAATAGTCCTGCATCTATTCGCGGAGCCTTGGTGACATCGTGGCAGATGTGGACTGCATTCGGCATCTTCCTCGGATGTTCTGCTAATTTGGCATTTGGTCAAGTTGGCAAAATCGCCTGGCGACGTATATGTCCCCCTTTTCCTACTATTAGTCTTTATTTAGCTGATAATTTCCTGAGGCAGTCCAGGTCGGTTCGGCCTTCATCCCAGCAATTCCTCTAACGTTCCTCATATTATTCTGCCCGGAATCGCCGCGATGGTACATCAAAAAAGGCCGGATCCGAGATGCTATAAAATCGCTCTTACGACTCCGCAATCATCCTCTCCAGGCAGCTCGCGACCTTTACGCTATCCATTTCCAGATAGAGATCGAAGATGAAACCATTCCCGAGTCAACTTACGTCAAAAGGGTCATCCAGCTTTTTACAATCCCTCGAATTAGAAGAGCTACCTTGGCCTCCTTTGTGGTTATGATAGGCCAACAGATGTGCGGTAAGTCACTTATTATGAACCGTGAACACTGTAGATTCAGAAACTGATGCAGAATAGGTATCAATATCATAGCCTATTATTCTTCTACCGTCTTCAAAGAAGCAGGGGCGTCGGATTTCAACGCCCTTCTTGCATCTTGGGGTTTTGGTCTCGTCAACTTCCTCTTCGCTTAGCCAGCCATTTGGACGATTGATACCTTCGGCCGACGCCCCCTACTCCTTTTCACATTTCCCAATATGGCGTGGTCTTTACTGGCTGCCGGTTTATGTACACTTATCTCTAAGACCTCGGCAGCTCACACTGGCCTGGTAGCGCTATTCGTATACGTGTTCGCCATGTTCTATTCGCCGGGCGAGGGTCCCGTTCCGTACACGTATAGTGCAGAGATCTTCCCGCTCTCGCACCGCGAGGTTGGTATGGCGTGGGCTGTTGCAACCTGTCTTTTCTGGGCTGCCGTGCTGTCGATCACGTTTCCGAAGATCCTTGCAGCTACAGGTGTTTTGGTAAGTTCGATACGGAACCTTCTTCCGAAGTCGCAAACCCTCTTGCGCAAGCGTTATATGGAGATGCTAGTCTAATACGGTGTGCTAACCAGGGCGCCTTCTGTCTATACGCGGGGTTCAACATGATAGCTTTCATCATGATCTTTCTATGGATGCCCGAGACGAAGCAGCGGACCCTAGAGGAGCTTGATTACGTCTTTGCCGTGCCTATGAGCGTGTTTATCAAATACAATTGCACTAAAGTGGTACCATGGTGGTTCAAACGCTACGTTTTACGGCAACGCGGGGCTGGTCTCGAACCCCTTTACCACTTTGATAGACTCGACGACACTGCTCCTCCGAATTTTGTGGTACAATATGAATCGACAACGGACAGTGACACGGGGGCTATTTCTAATACTGCAGTGTGTGCTACTACCCAGGGCACCCAAAGCAGTGCTACAACCACCGGTACCGACGCTGTTGATGTAATTTATCAGGCCAGAAGTGAAGTAGCTGCTTCCCGCCGCTTCTCGTGGCACGGTCCTGGTGTTCATAGACATCCAGCTCACGCTGACACATACCCTATATATCCTATGTAGAAATGCAGGTGGCAGTCTTTTTCTGGACTTGACTGTCTTACGATACATTGTAAATAGAGGAACCCCTAAGTAGAATGCTGTTGTTACATAAAAAAATGCTCAACTGATAGCATCGCTGACTACACGACCCCCACATAGTGGTGTATGGCGGGCGATCCTAGGTGAACAGACAGTCAGAATGTTGGTATAGCAGGTTGATGTCACACTTAGTTTAGCATTAGTCTCACCGTAGTCTAGACACTAGAAAGACATTTCCAAGGCGGCGTGATGACGATCAGTATTTCATCAGCGTGTCCGTCCGCTGTCCGCGAAGCACGGCGCACAAGATTGGCGAGGAAAGCTTGATCGTATTATCAGATTATGTGTCGTATTATGCGTTGTATCAATAGTGGCTCGTTGCGATATGGATCGATCATCCGCATTTTAGCCATTCTTGCTGTTCAGCTGGAGAAAAGAAGCTCGGATCTCAAGATCTGCATTACCACCGCCTTTCTTAGTTGGTGGTCTCCAACCTCTTGTGGTCCCATCCGTCCGTGCTCGCGATCGGCCTTGTGGGCAGCTGAACAATGAACTTGGATTCTTCCAAGGCAGATATTTCGTGCCAACCTTTTAAGAGAAACAAACTATGGTACGCTTACTATTTGAGGCGACAATACCCATATATATATGTATTATTGGTTTATTTTGTATTTATGGTAGGTACCTAATGTTGTGCTATTGTGAGTTGGAGATCGACGTAGAGGTACCCAAGCCCAAGGGAAAGGGAAAGGAAAAGGGAATTTTTTAAAAATTGGGCCTCGGTGGCAACCAAGATCTTAAACAATGATCTTCTTAAGTTGGGTGATCTTGTACGACATGGACCCATTCGTGGAGAAACAAAATAGTGGCCCCTTTTTTTCTCCAGAGCAGACTTTTTCGTCATTTCCATTGATCAAATATGTGTCTGTGCATTACGTAGAGTATTACATAATTGACCACTACGGAATAGATTAGTAATAATTATCAAGTCCAACCGATTCATGTCTAACAAAAGGTGGGATAAATTTTTAATTTTCGCCTCTCAATTTCTGAAACATCAGACGATGGCGAGTGGCTTAATATAATCAAAAGACCACATCAGGTACGAAGTCGCCTATCGCCGATTACCCGTCGTACCTAGCTTAACTTACAAGTTTATTGCCGTAAAAGGAATAGCGACTTGTTTAACGAACTTTATTAAATGCCAAGCTTTTCCCACGCACCTGCTGTGGTACACGCATGCTGCCAGAAAAAAGCTTCCCCTTGACTCGGGTAGGTTCTCCCGCAGGTAAGAACCTGGTAGCGATTGGCCAACCATAGGTAGCAGGTAGCTGCACGCCATTGGCATGCAATTCCGCTGAAACATCTAAATTCGGTACCCCTGGATAACGTCAATGGAATATCCTTAAAGGTATGCTTGACGTAGAAATTTATCTGGAAGCTCGTGAACTTCAACGTGAATACGTGAATACCCGAAGTAAAACTTTGTCCAAGCGTTTAAGGGATAGAAAGACTTATACGAGTTAAGACATTTTAGAGGTGATACGAAGGAGCGTTTGCTTCTTGTGTACCTCAAGTTACTAATTATGTACAACGGTAATATCCTGGCACCCGAGGTATTCGCCTATTGCTGTTTCCTTTCGCATAGTAGATAATTTGATAGCGCCTTCCACAATAAAACTCGTAGTAGATACCCACCTTACAACATAACAACCTTGGTAGTAGCCTAGGTACCTGGCTACTACCTTAGATCGATTTCCTTGTGGACCCTAGGTAGCTACCCTCGGAGGACCTTCCAATGCGTCAATCCTCTCCACATGACACAAACCCCGAATCGGTCCTTACCTGTACATCATCTAGTCCCACGAACTGCATCTTCATCTTGTCGTCTGGATTCGCGATCTTTCTTTTTCCTTCTTCCTACCCTCTTTCACTACATCCTCAGTCTTTAACTAACAAATTCCTCCGTTCCTCTCCATAAGCATACTATGCTTCAGATCCTTCTCACCTCTTTTACACAGTAGATACATGGCCGTCAGTCTCTCGTTTTGTCTGCCTCTTTTCTCTAACTCGCATCCTGCTTTTTCCTAAGGGCCCTGCTGTTAAATTCCTCTTCATCTCGATCCTGATCTTCAACGCACCACCTACAGCGCCCTTCCGATCGATCGCCTGGTGCCGTCCCGAGGAAACAACCCTGTGTATAACACATTCGCTTGTATATACAGCAATACCCTATTTTAAGAAAAGGGAAAAAAAACTTCTGAACCACGCTGCCGGGTTGCATCCAGAATCTGGGCAGCCGGTTAGCTTGAATACGTTAGCACTTCACTTATAGATCTCCCCACTTCGATGTCGATCCGTTCCCCAAGAGGGTTTGCAAAACTGGGCTCACGACCCGATATGGACAACGAAATTCCCTTGACTCAAGTACGGAGCAATGCCAGCTCGACTGGTGCTAGAAAGCCCAACCAAGGCGCTGCAACCGGCTTCAGCACCGAAAATCAGAACCCTATGGACGACGATGAGAAGAATGGCGGCTTCTTCCATCGTGGTCGGAGGAGAGCTAACAAAAGCGAGGCGTCTCGGGAAAACGACAACCTAGTCTCCGAGGAAGCATCTCTCAATGCTATGGGTAGATTTTACAATAAACTTATCCATGCCTCAGTCGTCACGCGATATCTTGTTTACATTGTCCCCGTCGGTGTCCTTTTGGCAGTCCCTATGATTGTTATCCGAGCACTCGGCCAACAGGACACTCTTCAAGCTGGTCATGGCCCGCGACAGAATGATCTAAACGAAACTCCCGCTATATATGCGCCCGGACCACGCCTCATTGACCTATTCCTATGGATAGAACTAGCCTGGCTGTCCTTATGGGTTGGAAAGGTCGTTGCCCACCTTTTGCCTCCCGTTTTCATGTTTTTTACTGGTGTTGTCAGTGCTGGCACTCGCAAGTACGCAATTGTCATTCGTGCGCTTGAGATTCCGCTGTCACTCTTCTTCTGGGCGTTGGCGACCTTCTTTATATTTACGGGTTTACTTAACGTTAAATTCAACGATGTTGAGTGGGTTCAGACGATGCGAAGAATCGTGGGTGCGCTCTTCGCCTCTTCGGCCGTTTTCCTCGTCGAGAAAGCCATTATCCAACTCATCAGCGTCACATACCACCAGCGGTCCTTTGCCAACCGTATAAAGGACTCCAAACGGGAAGTCTACCTTTTGGGGTTGATGTACGACGCTTCTCGACAACTGTTTCCTATGTACTGCCCTGAGTTCCGCGAAGAGGATGAGCTTATCAACGATAGTATCGAGATACTGCTGGCTGGTGGGAAGAAGGGCAGAAAAAACAGGAAGAATGGAGGAGTTACACCTATGAGGTTGATTGGGAATGTAACACGCATCGGTGACAAAGTTACCTCTGTTTTCGGAAATTTAGCCTCGGAAATTACTGGCAAGCAGGTCTTCAACCCGAACTCGGCTCACTCGATCGTCGTAGAGGCGCTCGAGAAGGTTAGGACTTCGGAAGCTCTCGCAAAGCGTATTTGGATGTCGTTTGTCGTAGAAGGCAACGAGGCTCTATTTGTGGATGACATCGTCGAAGTTCTTGGCCCCGGACACCGTGATGAAGCTGAAGAATGCTTTGAAGCAATTGACGCGGATGGGAACGGGGATATTAGCCTCGACGAGATGATTAGGAAGGTGGTTGAGATGGGAAAGGAGAGAAAGGCGATAGGAAACAGTATGAAGGATATCAGCCAAGCCTTGGGCGTGTTTGATCAGGTCCTCCTGTTCATTGTCCTACTGATTGTTATCTTCATCTTCCGTAAGTCGCTGCCTATAATTCCATCTTGGTAAGCTATACAATTACTAACACGCCGTTATAGTTGCATTCTTCCAAAGTTCCTTCATTACTACACTCACAACTGCGGGCACAACCCTGCTCTCGCTTTCTTTTATCTTCGCCGTCACGGCACAGGAATTTTTAGGCTCTTGTATCTTTCTGTTTGTCAAGCACCCCTACGATGTTGGTGACAGGGTCGATATCACAGGGACAGAGAAAGAGCAGCTGGTTGTTGAGAAGATTTCCCTACTTTACACTGTCTTCAACCGTATCGACAAGATGCAAGTCGTTCAGGTGCCGAATATTGTTTTGAACAACGTCTGGATCGAGAATGTCACCCGAAGCAAGGCTATGAAGGAGGTTATTGACATCAACGTCTCATATGATACCTCTTTTGAAGATATCGAACTTCTACGGCTTGAAATGGAGAGATTTGTACAGGCCCCAGAGAATGCCCGAGACTTCCAGCCAGACATCTCCATTAGCGTTGCAGGTGTTGGCGACTTAGATAAACTGCAGCTCAAAATCGCTATCAAGCATAAGTCGAACTGGCACAGTGAGGCTATCCGTGCTACTCGACGCTCCAAGTTTATGTGCGCACTTACTCTCGCTTTGAAGAAGGTGCCCATATATGCACCTGGTGGCGGCGGTGAAGCGTTGGGCGGGCCTACAAATCCCTCTTACTCTGTTAGTGTTTCGGATGCGGAGGCTGCTGCTGCTCGTGACAAAGCTGCCAAGGAAAAGGAAGAAGGCCGACTGGTACCAACAGCGCCGGCTAGGAACCCTTCGACATCCAGCAGGTCCGGCAAACCTGAGGATAGAGAGACGAAGGCTGCACGTGGTTTAAACACCCTCGACCCCATAAGAGCAGCTGCCGATGATTGGGTTTATAATCGTGACGAGTCCCCGGATTCTCGTGAGGATGCGATAGAGCGGAAACGCTCAACTCGCTCAACTGATATAGAGTCGTTACGTATGGATCTCCATAAGCATGAGAGTCAGCGTAGTGGTCGTCGGAGAGCAGGTGAAACTTTACCTCCCCATCCTATAAGCGAGAACACGCCAAGCGTTCAAATAACCCAGCCTACGGGCCCCTATGACGAAGAGGCACAAGTGGGTGTACCGCACCCGTATAGTGTCCAGCCAGGAAATTCACTGCGTCCTCAGACATCCAACCGAACCAACCAGTCAGGCGGAAGCGGTAGACCTGAATCTCATCACCGGAATCATAATCAGAATCGATCGCCGAGCAATCCTTATGAACAGCGTTAGAATGGCGAAATTTCTATGCTTTAACGAATCTCATTTTTCTCAAGAGAGATTCGATATATAGAATAGGGGACTTTGATTAAGAAAGGCGTTTTAAAAGGGTGCATTACGGGGAGCTAGACGCTCGACCTTAAAGATGCTATTAGAAGGGTTCTATTCCGTACTGCCATTATGAGTGCATATGCCGGTATGGGGGTAAAGTGAGAGAGTGGTGCTACAAGGCTCCGTATTGAAGAGCCTGATAAGGTGTGTGTTATTATTCAATATTAATTAGAACACTCCTGGAAAATAGAAGTTGTACATTCCCATAATTTTTCTGGTATTATTGTGTGATTTGTCTGCATTTATTAATGTGATATTAAGGGGAAAAGTATTAACCGTAGTGAAGATCATTAAGGGATATCGACACTGCGATTTTATATTGGAATGTTGTTCATTCGGTCTATCACCCTACGTGGATCATGTAAACTTCTAGATCTGGAAAGTACTCCGGTTAAACGGTAGCCACCTTAAGTAGCAATGTTCTTATAATACCGAACGTCTAAAACTCACTTCATATCCTGAATACCGCACCGCTGAGTACGGTTATCGCAGGTAGCTACCTAGCGCCCCTTTCCCTTTCTTTTTTTCCTTTTTCCTTTTTATTCAACCCACCCCTTTAATGTAAAAACCAGGTCTGTCCCTTATTGCCGTTCCACGAAACCTTGATAGCCAAGCCGCGCGCGTGGTCCTCGGGGATCGAGAATGTGATGTCGCCCTTGATCTCGCCGCCGTTCTTCATGGCTAAGGCATTCTTGTCCTTGGGCGGCTTGCATATTAGCAGGCCCTGCTTCCAGTGCGTCTCGCGGCCGTACGGCGACGTCGTGAAGGCTACTCGGTTCTGCGGGTCGGCGGCGGCCCAGGCTGTGGCTGTGGAGCTGAGGTCGACGTTGCTGAGCGCCGAGTCCCGCACGGGGGAAAAGAACATGTCGAACCAGATTAGGTACCCGTCTAGAGCGTCGATGTCGCGTGCTAGGGTGGTGGCGAAGGGGGCGGTGAAGGAGAGGTCAGCGGTTTGGACTTGGTATAGGTCTAGTAGCTTGAAGGCGCTGGGGGGCGCGGGGATGGTGCTGTTTGGGTCGGAGGGGGGAGGCGACGAGGGCCAGGTCAACACGCGCGTGTCGTCGTAGATGCCGGCTTGCATGGCGTGCATGTCGAAGCCGTAGACGTCGCGCCAGAAGGTGACGTTGTCGGCGATGTACTGAGGGTCTGCGACGGGGGCGAGCCAGATGTTGGCGTGCGAGGGCACGAGCAGGCCGTCTGGCTTTAGGTACTTGTCGCGGGCGAAGAGCACGGAGGGAAGCATGGCTTCGAAGAGTAGACAGTATCCCATCCACTCGCTGACGATGATGTCGACCTCGTCGACGGGAAGGGCGACTTCCTCGATGCGGCCGTGCACGCAGGTTATGACGGAGGATAGGTTGTTGTGGAATATGTTCTCTTGCGCTTTGGTGATGATGGCGCTGGCGTCGACGGCGATGACTTTAGATGCACCGGCGCGAGCGCAGAACATGCTTAGGATTCCTGGGGTGGGTGGTTAGGGTTGGATGACACATACTGAATATATAAAGGGGATGAGTGGGTAGGTAATATGATGAAATGGAAGGGAGAGAGGTATAAAACTTACCCGTGCCGCATCCTATGTCCAGGACAGTTTTACCCGCGAAGAGGTGCTTGTTGTTGTAGATGAAGTCCCGGTATGCGTCGGTGCGTACCGCATCCTTGAGCATTGTCTCGTGGATATCTTGGATAGATAGTTGTTAGTAGAGAACTAGGATAGTTGGTATGATAATTGAGCAGATGCTTACCAGCTCCGGCGTAGGATTCCCAGTAGGACTGAGAGTCGTCCTTCTTCTCACCAACCTCCTTCCCCTTACCCGCCTTGGCAGTAGCAGATTCAGCTTCGGCCTGGTCGACATCTCCCCAGCGCTCGTCGAGCGTCTGCTGTACAGCGACGCGATAGTTGTCGAACTGGGTCTTGACGCGGGCTAGCTCCTCCTGGAGCTCACTGTTGCGCTTCAGGAGGCCGTCAACTAATGCGGCGTTGTCACCGCTGTCGCCATTGCTACTCTGCACTGCTGGCTTGAGCTCCGGCAGGTCGAATAGCCCTAGGATGACGGCGTCGTCGTCCAATACCGGCTTTAGGTACTGCTCATGGTCGATGTCGGACGACGAGATGTCCTCCGTTACGGACAAGCCCTCGTGTACACGTTGGCGAACTGTTTGCGCGTTAGAAATGGGAAACAAAATTTAGGATAGAGTTAAATTGTTAGAGAGACATTAATAGGTGCAATCTAGGGATTTAATACGTGTAGGCATATAAAAAGACTGCTATGACCTCTCACAGAGTCACAACGAACGACAAGATATTGTATAAACGCAAAAAATGAAAGAATAGTAAAAATAAACAGACATAAAGTAAACGAACTCACTGAAATTAACAAGCTTAACGCAGCCGTGGAAATCAAGCTGCAGCCGCTGTCGAACGCCCAAGAAATCAAACCCGTGCTTCTCTCTGCAATGCGCCAGCATGGACATGACATCAGGGAATACCCGATCATCAAGCAGCGAGATGACTTCAAGGGTCTCTTCCTCATCATCTTCCTCGGCATCGCTCCAATCCTCCTCGTCCCGGGAGTCCGAGTCCTCAGACTCGCTCGCCGGGTGGCGGTCCGCGGGTTTGCTTGGCGCGGCGCTCATTGCGATCCCGGATACCTTGTTGCGTACCTACTTAGCCTAACCTGACCTAAAATGTATAAGATATTGGTGGCGGTACTTGAGCGAGTGAGGGTTTAGAAGAAGAAGAAGGATGATAATGATGAATGCGAAAAGTGGAAAAAAAAGGCGACAAAAAAAAGGAATTGGGTTTTGGAGGATGAGTGAGTCTAAATACCTGAGCTATATCTTAAAATGCTGCCTGGGGGTTCTTATGTATCACCGTGGGTTTTAATAGACACCAATTATTTGTTGATATATGAACCTAGATATAATATAATAATAGCTGGTGGCCGTTTTTAATATCACGACTCTCTCAAGAATTTCTGATAATTGTGGAAATATCCAAGTACAATAGCGGCTCGGATAAGTACATATGTACATAATATTTATGTGCTATACCATACGCGATATTTGCATACAAGCTAAGTAACCGATCTAGTACCGTACGTAGCGTTCACTACATATACCTAGTAGGTAGGTACTTTAGGTGAGATAGGGGTAAGCACCTTTGAACACGCCCTGAGCTTATTGGCTTCTCCTAAATCAGGGTATCGCTGGTCCTGATCGTTAAACCAACTACAAGGCTCCTTAACATACCTATGGGCTATATTGAGGGTGTGTCGAATAAATACACTTAGTCCACTTCGTTATCTGTATCATCATCATCGTCGTCGTCGTCGTCATCATCGTCATCCTCGTTTTCATCTTCGCCGTCTGAGACGGTTTCACCTAGATCAACAAGTCGTTTCTACAAGGATCCAATTTAGCATATGGAACAACCACGACGCAAATTCGTTTGGGGTTATTCAGGGGAAGCGTGCGTACCTTATACTTCTCAACCTTTTCTTCTAGATCACCGAAGACCATAAGAAGATCGTCAAGCTCGGTTTGAGTGGCCGATTTCTGCTCCTCCTTTTCTTCTAACTGCGTGCGGGACTGATGCCAAGGATTAGCGTACGCTGTTATCATACTTATTCTAGTTGGAATGGAGTTTCAAGTACCTTCTCTAACTCTTTACCCTTTTGCGCCAACTGTTTTTCAAGATTTGAACATCGCTCTTCGGCTTCCTTTGCCTTCGACTGTGCAGCTGACAGCTTGGTAGTAAATTCTTCTTGGGCGGTGTGGAGTTCTTCGGTTTTCGCTTTATTTGCCTGGATTATATTGTTAACCACGTAAAAGATGAATTTTATACTTATACCTACTTTCATGAGGTCTACTTCCAGACGACTAATTGTGGCTCGAAGGTCTGCCATTTCTGCCTCGGATCTTCGTTGAATACGTGCCGCCTCGGCATCAGCCGTTTTTCGGATATATTCCAGTTGTCTTTGCAATTCTGCTTCTTTCTCACGATAGTCGGCATGGATGGCATCCGCAGCTTGAGCTGCCTCTTTCCGGACAGCTTCTATTTGCTTTTGGTACGACTCATCTCTTGATCGCTGTTGTGCTTCGATTTTTCTTCATACGTTAGGAAGAACGCTACCAAGTCTGTGAAGTACTTACTTGATTTCCTCGGCGTGGTTTTGTTGAATGGCCTCGTTGACACTCTTTATTCTTGCTAAATCCGCAGTAGAGGATTCTTTAGTTCGGCGATGGTCAGCTTGCTCTTGGCCAAGCTTTCCGTTGAGAGAGGCCACATCGGCAAGCGCTGCTTGTAACGCTCGTTCCTTTTCGTCAACTTGTGCTCGTAGTAAGTCCACCATCTCACGAGATATGCCTTTCTGAACACCGTTGGTTACTACTGAAATCTCCATGCCTGGGTCACGGTCGATAGCCCTTATTATGCGGCTATAATTGTCCTTGAAAAAATCCACAAAAGTCGCGTCAAAGAAAACATCTGGTAAATTACCCCCGCTGTCTGCTTTCTGTGGGATGACCTCGAAATCCCTCACGAAAGGATGGCTCCGTAATTTATTTAGAATATCGATAAACCTATCTCGGCCCATCCGAGACGTAAGAACAGAGTGCAAAGTCGAGCGAGGAATCGGTGAGTCTTTCGTAGAGAACTCATAGACAACCCCAAGGAGCATAGCACAAAGTCCCTGGACAATGATGTTGCTTGAATTATACCGTACAACTTCTTGCGCCAAGGCCTGAATGTTGCTACCCTCACCTAAGAAGTCGTTGACTCCATCAAGATCCTCGAATAGCCATGCTATCAACAACATCAAGTAACCCACAGAAATACGGTCGTCGTCGGATCTGGCTAGTCCGCTTACGAGATGAGCGGTAATGGTTTGAATGCTTGTTACGACTTCTTCACCGCTATCCGCATCGCCTTCTGTCACGGACATTGCGAGGGCTTTTGCCTCGGCATTTTCGAAGACCAGGTGAAATGTGATAACGGCTGCAAACCAATGCCGATAGGGGTCTACTGAGTCTGGGCCATTAGACGGTCGAAGCAGGGTAGTTAGGACATTAGCTGTTTCGTCTACGCCAGATGTGTGACCTTCGATTGCTCGGCGTAGAAAATGCAGGCGAACTTCAGGATGATTGAAGAAATATGCTTTGATGCACTGGCACGCGGCTAGTCGTAGGTCGAATGCTTGGGTTGTAGGCACGCTCAGGGTAAGATCTAGGAGACCGTCGATCACATAGACGGCCGGAATACCATTTGCCTTCCCAGCGTGCCCGTTGGTTAGCGGTGCCATCTCTAGCACCGATGGGACCTGCAGTTGTGCGAATGTTTCTTGCAGCTTAGAATTACCCCTGATAATATCCGCACAAGTAGTTAAAGCCTACGTCACATATGTAAACAAACAGTGCACAATGTTGATGAGACGGGGAGAACCTCGCACCTCTGCTCTGATAGACATCTCTGCGTCGTGGCTAAAAGCAAGTTGTAAAGCATGGTAAAGGACACCATGTTGCCAAAAGGCCGCCTGATTTTGGGATGTTCCTACAGCACCAGGCACGAGGAAGAGGCGAATGACTGCGAGTAGAGCATATATGTTTCTGTTGCGCTGTTCCTGAGCCCAAAGAGCAACATCCTCCTCTCCCTCTTTCCCTGTGCGATAGGTGCCCTCTAGAAGCTTTGCTAATTGTGGAATATAGGCCTCTTCACGGAATAAGGACTGATTCGAGGGGTTCAAGCGTAGAAGGTTGGCGAGAAGAATTAGACAGTCCTCAACTATCCTGTCGCCCTCGGCAAGCGACCCTTCGGCTGCTATAATAGCGAAAACTCGTCCAAATATATTTGAGAAAGCTACGAGTTTCTGAATATCAGGGGATGAAGGTGTCAGGTAGGTAAGGAGGGTTAACGCTTCGTTCCGAACAGCCTCCCTCCTATCGTCGAGGGCAGCAACCAGTCTAGAAATACCAAGAGGCGCGGTAAAGACGCATATTTCTGTTCTTTCGGTGCGGGCTGAGAGGATAGCAAGAAGAAGCTGCAGAGAATATAGGCGCGAATAGAAGTCGTTGGTCTCGAGGAAATCTAAGAGCAAGGTTATGTTTTCCTGCCGTTGAGTGAACTCGTCTGCTAACCAGAGAGCAATCTCTTCAGAAGCCTCAGGACTATCTGGGTTGGGGTTAAAAAGCATTAGCAAAGTCTCAAGGACCACTTTGACGGTGTCGACATCTTCGCCATCTTTAGACAAGCTTCCGATGAGACTTCTCAGAGCACCAGATGCAACTGAAGCAGGATACTCTTTAGCGAAGCTTCGTAGGCCGAGGATAGCAGCGCGGCGGTCTTCAAGAAGGGTAGCTGAGCTAAGACGTCCGCTAAGAACGGTTATGGTCTCGCTAACAGACTGCTTCGCGGGAGCAGAGGTGATGGTAGAGAACATGGTTCGTGCTGCTGCTGCTCGATCTCGCGGTTGCGCATCAAGTCCATTGGTAAAAGGGGCTACCGACTTAGGAGCATCGTACCGTCGAAGGTAAGGGGGTAAGAGATGTGATCGGATCGTAGATTAGCGCCTATGTTATGCGCAGTGTTATTGTTGTTGTTGTTAGGTAAATGCGAATGCTTGTTGAAGGAAAGACTACCTAAACTAAACTAATAACAGCTAACTACAACTGACTGCGTTAACACATTTTGGCCAGATATCGATAAGTGATAACAAGTGGTACTTAGCATTTTGAACTGTCCCTACATAGGTACATAGGTACTTACTAAATCTTAGTGCAAACTTAGCCCCAGATGTTGATTAAGTTTCATTTAGCGTCCATAATGCGTAAGCTATCGGATATGTGCATACGAAACTGCCTGGTTTACTACATAAAGGCTGAATTCTTTGAAAAGCGGCGCTAGTTCCGAAGTCCCGACGTAATCACTTATCAGATAAGTTAGAGCTGTGAACTAACCCGATTTATGTGGGTCCTGCTGCGAACTCTATCTTCTGATTGTAACAAGGGTCTGATCCGGGCTCGCGACTTTGAATGAACTTTTGCGCCGCCGAATCTTCCTTCGTTCTTCAACGTCTTTGTGTCCGCCACAACTTCAAACAACCGCGAACATATATCGACGCGGAATTGCGGAAAGCATGCTTGGCTAATCGGAATTGTAGCATATTTCATTTCGATGCGTCGCTATTAGATTCGATATCTTTTTTTTCTCCATACTACACAAACAAATTGTTCAAATCCGAAAGTTAAATGAGCGGCGTGTCTCTTGACTATTAATCGACTTCGTCTAGTTTGAACTCGCAGGCAAACTAGATTGACGCGTTTGTTATGCCTCATGCGCCTATCTCTGATATCAAATTCTACTCTCATATTTCCCTCCGCTCCTTTAGCTTCCTCGAAGAGTCGACGTTCGATATTTAGCCCGGGCTAGATTTCTGGTTTATTACCTTCGGCAACTTTCCCTACCCCGTTATCGCGTCCGAATTTTACTTCATTAAGAAACTCGCGACGTCAATACCGCCAAGATGGGTATTCCGGCTGCTTTTCGATGGCTCTCCAACAAGTACCCCAAGATTATATCTCCCGTTGTGGAAGATAGGCCTATCGAGATGGATGATGGCACAGTTATTCCCGTCGATACCACGCGACCGAACCCGAACGGCGAAGAATTCGATAATCTATACTTAGATATGAATGGTATCGTGCATCCCTGTTCTCATCCGGAGGATAAACCCGCTCCGAAGGACGAGGAAGAGATGATGTTGGAGATCTTTAAGTATACCGACCGGGTGGTTAACATGGTTCGTCCAAGGAAGCTACTCATGATTGCTATTGGTAAGCCATCCACTATCTGCCATTACCTACTATTGTGTTTGCTAACATTATATTCCAGACGGTGTTGCGCCTCGAGCCAAGATGAATCAACAGCGATCTCGACGATTCCGCT